AGTCTGAACAAGGCAGAGATGGTTTCTGATGGAAAAATCAGAATATTTTGACTATTATCAGCAATTCTGTTTGTTTAACACTATACCTTATACTAATCAGTCTCATGTTTACATATTGCCAAAAACTTTTCTATTTCCCTTTATAGTTTTTCTATAGAAATAAAATGCAACTTGAAAGTCAAAGCTAGAATGAGCAAAATCATACTTTGCAATCTCTCTCAGAATATGAATAGTAAATTTGCTGCATCTCAAGCCTCTGACACCTTTTCTTCTGCCTTGCAACTTGCCAGACATGATTGCTACCAGCTTGATTAGTTCATAGGCCGATCACTTTAACACCCAGAACACATGTCCGTGCATACTAAAGCTGTTGCGTGCCATCGATTTTTCAAAGGTCTCCCCCACTGAAATCAATAAGGAGCTCTGCTTAAAAATGGATTGCACTTTGTGGTCCCTTTCTGAGTTGTGGATATCCAGGCTTCCAAGTATTCTCACAGCTGCCTTTAGCAGCAGCTCCATGTCCCCCACTTCCTCTGACCCCAACCTGATCCTAACCCATACCAACAGACCCTTCAGCCACTGATCACTCTGAGCAGAGACAGCAACAGAGAATCTCACCACAACCAGTCACCAGAATAACAGGAAAACCCCTCCAAGAGCCTATGGACTGTTACATAGCACCAGAGCCTCCCTTGCAAGCAGAGCCACCCAAAATCAATAGCTCTGCTCTCAGAACACGGCTATTTCAATGAGAAAAAGATAAAGATCAAAAGCAGCACAGTTCATAACTCCAGTCTGTCCTTCTTTCCCGTGTATTTTAAAGCATGGCTTCATTAATATACAATCCAATCTGGCTGCAAATAAGCCAAACACATAAACACACTGTTATAACCTCATGCAGTTCCTTCCACAGAAACCTTGCAAGATTTCCCTTAACAGTACACAAGAATCCTCATTTTTCTTGTCTCTTAAGCGTTTAGATTTTTGGCAAAAGGGCTTCCATTTTAAGAAAAGGCTACTGCCAGGAATGTGACTAAAACTGGCTCTGTGTGGGGAACTACAGCTGAGAACAGCCCCGTATTTATGAGCATTAAATCTCTACAAAACACAGGAACAAGAGTCAGTGGGCTGGCAGCAGAGCCAGGCCAGTTTGTCACGGGTGAAACAGAGTAACTGAAATATTACAGCAAGGCTGGAAAATCCTGCAGAGGCTCATAATAAGTCTTTCATAACAGATACTATTGTGCTATCATCAAGCAGATAAATAACAAAATGGCATGCAACAAAGCTGAGGTCAACTCTGCAGCCAGGCAGCCCAACAGCTCCACCCATTCCAAATGCCCCGGAAGGCATCAGGCAGCGTTTAGGCTGCGTATTCAAACTTAGAGCCATTAGGTAGAAAATTGTCCTTTCACTACACATTTTGAGAGGAAAAAATCCAACTGTGACCCCACAGAACAATGGTTGTTTAAGCTCAGCAACAGATGTGTCAAATGACTTATCCCAACCATGAGGAGTTAATTGATGCTATAAATAGCACTCTGCAGACAAAAAAAAAAAAAATCCACTTAATTCTAGTATCCAAAGAACACAGCAGAGCTCTGCTTATCAGTAAAACTATTTTCCTTTAAAGAAGTGGGCTTGGATGTTTTACATGTAGATTAACACAGAGAGATAATTTGATTTCAGGCTATTGAGAGATTTCCTTCCTTTTATGTTTCAGAAGAACAGGGCTGCATGCAGCTAAATGAGATCCATAGATTACAGTAGAAGAAAGGCCAATAAAACTGCACAGCTACATTCCCGGGTAATAACAAATGCTTTTTAATTCTAGGGCTCCAGTCTCGGGGTTTATGAGGGCATTTCCAATTACTACTTTTAAGATTAATGCAAATAAGTGCATCAAATGGAAGCAGATTCTTTAACCCATCTGAATCATACATTTAGTATCTCCCATAGCATTTTATACCAATTAATAAAACTGGCATTGCTAGGAAACAAATTCACATCTGAAGTTGTTCAGAGCAAGCCTCTTCTCTGTGGTTTTCACCTGCTTTCAGGAGAAAAACAAAACCAAAACCCTTCAGCTGTTTTCCAGAACATGGGTCTTGTTTACCTCTCACAGCCACATGTAGTGGACTGTGTGGCTGCTCCACCAGGGAACTGAAAACATCAGTATAAACAGGAAAGAACACAATGTCAATGTTCGTGTTTAATTCTTGAAGCTACTAAATCAAAATAATTTCATTAGCTGCTTCCCAACCAATCTTACTGCATTACTCTCTTGTATTTCAGCCTCTCTCATTAAAAACAATCAGATTTCCACCTTATGTTGCTTTAAACCAGGAACAGTATCAATGAAGAGATTAAAGCAATACAAAGACAGAAAAAAGAGAATAAGGCCCACTAGCTTTAATTCTCTCCAGTAACATCTGTGTCATTTTAAATCCAGGACTCTTTTTCACCGAGCTACGTTTGGAAGCCTGAGGCACTAAGTAAATCTACTCTGTTTAGACCAAAACTATTGATCTGTTTTCTGCAATGGCATGTGCACAACACACCCTTCACTGTTTCAGCATCTGTAATTTTAAAACGCAATCCAAGTTCATTTTACCCTTGTAAGTTTAGGATGCAATCCAAGTTTGTGCTGATTAACACCACAACTCTTTAGTATTACAAGGCAAACATGCATTTGAGAACTAATAAATAATTTCTGAGCAAAATAAAAGTATTTAACTCATCTGCTGTCTTGAATAATCATTCAGTTCATGCATAAACATAAAGACAGGAAAAACAGACACATTTTAATGAAAGTCTTGGAGAAAGTCATCATTCCACATGATGGATTTAACATGTAACACCTCTCAACAGAACAGTCTTTGTTACACCTTATGTTTTGCAAAAAGGTGCTGCTCCAGAGGTAGTGCCTGGTTGAGGGTCAGAAGCATTGCCACAAGAGCTGCCAGTTCAACTCCCCTGTTTCCAGCTGCAAGGCGTTGCTAAATTTTCAAGGCAGAAATCCTTCTCCCTGAAAAGCGTTTCCTATTCTATTAGCCAAGCATCTTGGCTTCTGTGGGGTTAAACTGACAGCCAAAGCAGCCCTCAGAGAGCAATATTCAGGACATGCCTGGTTCATATCAAGATGCCATAGTAACCCCATTGATTAGTGCAGACTCAAGTGGTCTTTACTCATTTAGATCTTCCCTCGCACGCAACAGAAACGCGGGGCTGTGCTTCCACTGCCAATGCTACAGCCATGCACTGAGCAGAACTGCAAGCATCCATTTTCAAGACTAAGATTTATATCTTTATTACAAGAGCTTTTTATTCACTGGTTTGTGGCTCTATCACAAATGTCAGCATTTGGGCTGCCAGCAGAGCTGGGCTGTGGTGTCCAGGCTGCTCTGCAGGTGGTGAGAGCCTGGCACAGGTCACCAAACCAACACCACACCAGGGATCCCCTTCTCCACATCCCTCCTTCCCTGCATGGAAAACCTCTTCTGAATCTGGCCTGCTCATAAACCTGCATTTCAACTGCTCAACTACCACATTTCAATTATGTCTTCTGTGCTGAGGCTGACTCTGACCTGAAAATCAGCAGAAACTGGGAAAAATATTGGGTTTAGGGGGTCAGTAAAATTGTCTTTTGGAGAAGTCATTTTCTTCCAGGTAGCTATACTTAGACTCTGATCTCACCCCTTCCAAGCCTATTCTACATTTTTATCTTTGACTACATCTTAATGCTTTTTGTAGTTTATATCCCCCATCAAGAATATTTCCTATTTCCAGGAACAAACTTATCACTAGTGCCTAATTACAATTATTTGGAAGCAGAAATATTTCTTCCTAATCACTTAAGATCTGCTTCTTCTATTCAAACATTCCTTTTTAATAACCATCCTGCTGGTAACTGCTGAGCGGCAAAAATAACAATTTTGCTTTAACTTTCTAACCACTTCAAATGTTTAAAGCAAATTCCCTCATTATACTGAAATTAAAATCCTGTGCTGTATCAATAGGAATACATTTCAGCTATAATAAACACTTCTAACTCATTTCATTAAAACTATGAAAGGAACAGAGGTAAGTCCCAAACAATTCAGACAGTAAATACAATGTAAACTCTGCAAAGAATCGTTCCAATAAAACTTTTTGGTTTGACATATATAAAAGGAAATATGTTTAATCTAAAAGTAATCAAATGAAAATGGAAATAACTTTTTAAAAATCAGTAACATGACGTGTTATTCAGAGGATTATTTTCAAGGAATGCTTGGCTGAAACAATAATCCACCTACACTGAGAAAAATAAAGCAATACACAGAAGGGAGCAATATTTCAGGAAAATAAACAAGAGTACTTTAATATTTAATCCCATTATTCACTTTCAAGTCTCCAGATTTAAAACAGGTACACCAAAGTACTGAGGTTCAGAGCAGCAGAAAATGCTTATGGTCATCGAGTGGCTTTTGTTCCCAGAAAGACAAAGAGAGAGCTGGCAGGGAGGGCATGGAGAGAGGAAAAGACATCCTGACAGTCTGACCCTTACTGCCTGTAGGAACAAGTCCCACAGCTGAGAGACATCCCCTGCTCTGTCAGGGGCAGAATGAAGCTAAATTAGTATTTCCATGGTAAGAGGAAAAGGGAGAGATGGATGAGAGAAGGCACAAAAGAGAAAATTGTCATCCCTGTTTTCCTCAGCTGCACTTGTGTTTTATCCCTGCCACTGCCTCTGCTCTGGGCACAATGGACAATGGCAGAGGGTCCTGTCCTAGTTCCAGTTTTAAGAGGTATCATAGGGGTATTCCCTTCTTTCTACTCAATCATTCTACCACTATGTTAAACAAATTTTAGTTGGCCTTCAGTAGCATACAAACAAAGGAATTTCTGAGGTGTAAAGACAATTTAATAAAAGGACAAGGTTTATTAAGGATTTAAGAACACACAAAATGAAATAGTAACAAGACACTCAAGAGACTCAGCTGCAGAAACACAGTACCTTTTATAATCTTTCTTTCTCGTAGTGGCTTTTAAGATGGAAATTCTCCCTTGGTTCGATAATAACTCTGTAAGAGAAACAAAGAAAATAACAAATATTTTTATTCCATGTGTGGGAAGTAGGAAGAGGGGATTATTTTTGAATAACTGATAACATTTACATAATATTGTGGAAGTCTTGTATTTGTATCTCTCCTCGGTTCCCATTTCTGAGTCATGCTGGTTTACAAAAAAAAAACAAACCAGCATCTCTGGCATCTATTCCACCATCACCTGAAATCCCAAGAAAATCCCACAGAGTATTGAAAGTAAACTCCTTTAAAAGATCCTCCTGATTTCTGTCCCAGTGCCCCTCATATATGCATAAATCACACACTCCTAAACTTAAAATTTAACCAAATATATATTTAATTCCTGATTAATTACTAGATTTAAGTGCAAAAAATATTTCCCTCATAAGCACACACCAGAGCATTTTCAGTCATCCGGGTCTAAATGCCATCTAGTGGCTCTAAAAACGTCAACTGTGGTTCCACAGATACACCTCATCCTGTCTGACATTTTTTCTTCTAACAGCAGGAAATAAGAGAAATTAGGGCAGCAAATTCACCAGAAAGAACTCAGTGATTTTCAAAATCTCATTTTTTGTTAGAGCTTCATGCAGCATTCCTGTTACAGCATTCCTCATCTGAGCAATTTCCCACAGTTAACCAACAGGATCCTTTGTCTTGGCTTCCCATTCTCCTACTCTCTCTGACAGCAAGAACATTTGAAGCAGTTGATTCCTGCAGATCAGCCTTGTTGGGTTTCACTCAGGTAAATTTTACCATTTTACAGTTCCACTAACACATGGCTCCATCACCTGACCCTTCCTCACTGCTCCTCCTTTGCCTGCATGGCACAAAGCAGCCAAATAATCTGAATGGTAAGTAAGGAAAAGCACTTCAATCCTGCAGACTCACTGTAACCACAGAGGTGCTAAAAGATAATTCTACATCTCTGATGTAAGAAGAGAGCTTCTTTGAAGCCTAATTGCTTTTAGCTTTTGTCTCATGTGAATATGACTTATCTCCTCTAAGTAAGCTAATTTTATTTATTTTATTAAGCCAGAAATAAATAATGTTTTATATTTGGTGTCATCGGGAATAGACAAAAACTACCAGAAAAATACGTGCCTTGATTTTTCTTTCCTCCTTTTTCACCTGTATTTTTGTTGTTGATTCAGAGTCAAGAAGACAAACTGCCTAAGGCTTGGGATGTCCTGGGTAAGACCCAGTCCCACTACAGCATTCATGTACAGCTGTGGGATGTTGTGGGAATAAAGTGCACTTGCCTACCTGACAAGATCTCAAAAACATGTATATAAAATATCAGCACTCTTATATACACCCACACTGTTACTGGTGGTCTTCTAGTGATAATCACACCTGTATCGCCTGAAATTTATTTTTTTTATTTATTTGATTACCAAGAAAGAACTCTTTGTCTTTTTAACACAAATCTAAGAGTTTCATTTTACTCACTGAGCAGGGTATTTGTCAAAGCAGTGACAGTCCCTGAAGTGCTCTGTGGGTTGTGGCAAACACCTGGCTCACACAATGCTGTGCTCACACGGGCACAGTCTGACTGCTGGGGAAGCCAAGTGCTGGTTTATATCGGCTGATGGCAGCTCAGAGCTTCAGCCCCAAGTCCTGGGCAGCGTGCAGCTTGCTGAGCTTCATGGTTATCCTGCACAGTGCCTCTGCAGCCCTTGGCTGCCCATTTGATAGCACGACCCGTGGGGCAGGGAAGAGGGAGGAAACCCCACCAGCTTGGACGGCATTACATTTGGTAAAACACCTGTGTTTCATTACAAAAATGCTGCTTCATTCCAGTGATATACTTTTATTGCTGATTTTAATCAAGTATCTTAGAGCTCTCAAATGGGAAAGGTGGAGAAAAACCTGTAATGCCTTTTCAGATTGCTTGTTATCTCTCACTTGTAACTAATTACCCCCGTAGCACTGTTAAAGACTGAGTGGTTTTATGTTTGCTCGCCAACAAATGACAAAAAAAAAAAGAAATCAGACAATTAGTCTCTAGCTATAGTAACTAATTAAGATAAATATTTTCAGAACAAAGAACTTAACAGAACATCAAGGCACTGACACTGCAAAAATGTCTGGGAAAGTAAAGCATCTATCAGCAAAGTGTTTCTTGCCAGTCAGCGAGTTCCACAATTGCATCCTCACCACACTTCATTCCTGTCCTACTCCAGTGAACATAATTAGTTATTAAAGCTTTTCTAACATGGTGAGAATGTGAGCAGCTTATTGGACTACAGGAGGACTTAGGGACAAATTTTGATTCTGCACCGTTGCAAATGTGTGCTCTGCCAACAGAAGAATACAAAAAATAAAAAAATAAAATGTTTGTAAAAATACAAACAGCATGATGGCAAGTGGAGCAGCAACCTGTTCTACCATTCCTTTTTCCTAAGGCCTTATTTTGTACCATCAGCCACACCTGGCCTGTGCTAGTAATCCACTCCTCACACCTTCTCAGTCCCTTACTCAAAAGGCTTCTGAGCATCTACCCAAGCTCTTGAAAACAGAAACTGGTGACATTAACGCTGCCAAGTGTGAGGCAAGCAAGCAGTGTAGTCCAGAATAAATGAGACAAAAACATGGTGTGGATGGACAAGCAGGCTGCTTTTCAATTCAGCTGCAATACGACTATAAGCATGCATTGCAAAATCTTGCCCAAGGTATGAATGGAAAGTCTTTATCTTTGGCTCTTTCTGTCACTCAAACGACCTCCTCTCTGGCATTTCTGGCATTAAAATAACTAACAAGGAATTTGGATGATGTAATTTATTTGGTAGCAGAAAAATTACCTGCAGACTCATGGCTCCAAAGCAGCCTCAGGAATGAATGTTTCTGTCACTTACAGCAGTGGATTGCAGTCAGCACAACTTCACTTGCCAACAGCAACCCCAATGGAAAAGAGACCAGTGGAAAAGAGCTCACTTACTCCCAGATTAATTTGTCTGTCATGTTTTGTTTTTATTGATTGCAAGAAGCTGATACCCTCCAATTGTATGTTTTCCTTGGCAAGAGCTCTGTCACAGATAAATCACCAGAAGTTTGGGCAGAGCTGAATAGAGCTCTCTGAAGTGGATTTTGTATCTGCTGTGATTTACTTAACCAAGAGACAAGGAGGTGAAAAGAAAGAATTTTCTTCCTTCACCTTACGTCTTCATTTGCTAAACTGCTATTTTATTTCACAAAGAAATGTAGGGTATTCTGACTGACAGCACAGTTCTGCTTTTATGTAAGGTATCAGATGGCAAACATGAGGTAGCTACATTACACAACTCAGTGTGTGGGTATATGCTCTGTCAAAACTTGCATCAAAACATATGAAAAACTCATGGGAAGTGAGGTTTCTCCCCTTAAAGATGTGATACAAACATAATGAACAGCAGCCGCCCTGCACACTCATTACAAAGCTTTCCATCAAAAGAGATGGACTTCAAGCTGTTTGATATTTTAATATTTACACTCAATTATCTCTAGAAATTTATTTAAAACAGCATTATTTTTGTGTTACTTAGGAGCTCTGAGTTCCCTCAGAAACTCCTACTCATTCTTAATTATAGTGTAAATCAGCATGTTAACATCAAGCGAGCAACCACTAACTAAAGCAGCTGATACAAATGCAGACAAAGTTCGGACAGAAGCAGTGGCAAAATGCCCAGAAAGTTCCAAACCCCCTCTGAACAGCTCAGTCAACACGGAGAGATACACAGACCTTTCAAAAGAGATGTGCTGGGTAATAGCAGTTACTGCCAATAAATTTTGTATAAATATTACAAAAGTAGTAAAGAGCCCATGCATCAGTACACAGACATGTCACAGATAAGAACTGTGGCTTTTTAAAATGTCAGGACTGAAAATGTACAACAGCCTATAAAATGTCACTCAAGTCATTACATGCTACCAGTGAAGTAAATCATTTATTAAAGAAACAACGGCTGAACTAACTCTGCCAAACCAGGTGCACCTATTTCCTCTGCTGTGTTACTGTGTTGATAAAGACATGACATATTAAAAGAAAATGTATGAAATACAGAACTACAAAAGCCAATGTACAGTGATTCACTCTGCTGTGCTACGATACAAGCAAAATTAAAGCTAATCCTTTCTTCTGAAGGAAATGTCACAGACTTCTGTGCATTTGGTAAATTAATATTTATAAGAAGCCCAGACAGTTTAGTGTTTTTAATACAGAACTAAGATTTCCTCCTGAACATCAAACAGAAAAGTTGCACTCCAACAGCAGTTTCTTGATTGCAACAAACCTAAATGACAGTATTTCCAAGACTTGTTTTCCATCATGTCATTCCGATTAGCAACTGTGTACAACTGGGACATCTGCAAAATCCACCAAGTAGCCATGAATTATACATTCCTAACTCTTTAAAGTTAACACATAATAATCTTCTTATCAAGAGCCTGCTGACAGCTGCTAGTACTATGTTCCTAATAATTCTCATTGCAAGCAGACATCTAGGAATGGAAAGGCAAGGTATACATGGTCTAGTACCACATTGGTGCAGATATACATGTAATAAGTGAGACTTTACCAACAGCATTGTTTCAAGAACTTACATAGCAGTAAAACTACAACTGAACACATTTTACTGAAAAATGTAATTTAGAATTTTACAGCCTAATATGCATAAGAATTCATCACACCCAATTAAATTAAAATGCAGCAGTTGATCACTTTTTATGAAAATTTTGAAAGGAATTTTGTTATATTACATGCTAATATGGTGTTTCATTTAATTTAGATGATGAATTACCTAATTTTGTTTTCTAGTATACTAAGGGTATCTAAATTGAACTTGATAGCATTCACAGGGTAACCAAAGTCACCTTTTATGTATTAGAGAAAGAGGAAAAATTTATTCATTTAAATAGGAGGCAAAGGTGATCTTCCAAAATTCTATAATGAAATTTAATCTTGGAAAAAGAAGGATAAAAAAATTAATCCTGGTTTTAGTAATAATACATTAGTGCAC